GTTATAATGATATGAAGTTGCATGGATGAATATCTTTATCCTACGTACTTTTAAGCAGTCGAAGATGTAGATAAGTTGCTAAACATTACTAAAAAGTCGTATCTACTATAACTTCCTTTGATTTCTACATCGAAAACTCTAACCGGCAGCTTTTCCCTTATTGGTGCGTTCAAGGCTGTCTACAAGATCCTCAAGACGGTAAGTTCATTCAGTAAAACAAAAACATAGGTTGTGAATTATCCATAACGGGCTGCTATGGTGTGGTAAGTGAAAGTGGACGCTGTTATTCTTACTTCTCTTCTAGTTTCCGATATCAAAGTGAATTCTTATTTTGAATGTAGTATTCTTCGTTCCGAAACTGAAATACCAATTTATTTGTATTCATAAGCAAGTTTATAGCCTGTAAAACCTTGCTTAAACTGTCTGTTGTCAAGTGCTTTATACTTTTTAATATTTCTGAGAAGTAGGTCACTGTCACACTGCTTTGCAACCTGAACTCGACACAGTATTTTTTTTAGATTTTACTAGGCTATGAGACTCCATTTTAAATGATATACTACGTGTATCAGACAGTGAAACTGAACTGAAATTACATTCTATCACATTCTTCAAGTCTTACTGTTGTGCTATGAGACATTTAAGCATGACAATTTATGATACTCTACCAGGTTACCATGGTGGAAGAAGATTATGGAGGATTTGAATTTCAGCACTGGTTGTATATCAAATCACTGAGTCGATTAGCCATATTTTTAACAATGTATCTGTTAACTTACTACAACAAAATTAAGTATTTGTTTATGTACTACGCTATGTGACACATTCAGAATACAACAGTTAGTGAAATTACTCTATTTTAGGGACCTCAGGAGATGGATCTAGGCTTAGTACGGTGACGTAATGATAGTTAGTTGTCCAAGCCAATTATTTCGAGCGAGTTTTGAAGCCATCCTGTTAACCAAAGAAATAATCAATTAAGTTTCTGTATTTCATTTGGAATGGTAGTTTTTTCCCAAAATACTTGATTGGTCGTTTCAGTAGTCGACAGGGTGACCTCCAAAGTCATTCCTTTGAAGGCCATTATATACAAACTACCAAGACAGCTGTAGTAGAGAAACATAATTAACTATTTTGCCCGTTGCCAAGGTGGACTCTGGAGTCGGTCATGAACTCTAGATTGGAGTAATTTTAAAAGCCACCCGAACAAATGCTGAAATGACCAATCAGGCTTTGGTGTTTCACCTGAAAAAGTACTTTTACATAAAATAAAGGAATGTAATTGGCAGTCTCATCAATGGCTAGGGTGGCATTTAATGTAACCACTAAATTCACTAAGATGGCTGCGGAATTTAACTTAGAGCGACTTTATAGTCGGCACCAGGAACGAGTGTAGTAGCATATCCCGTCTCTGTTTTCCGTTCGAAAGCTAGATTTTCATTAAATGACTAAGCGTAACTAGCTTTTTTAGTCTCTGTTATTGTTATGGTGATCTTCAGAATCACCCTTTACTAGGACAAGGTAATAGAGGGTTAAAATTATAAAGCGTAGGTATCGACGACGCAGCGGTGTACAAGACCTAACATACTGAAGCATCTAGAACCTAATATTATTCATTGACTAAAGACAACCCTAGTAACTGCTGCAATAACCAATAAGGCTTATACATTTTAATGAAACTTACTTTTCCAGCTGCAGTATCGAAACCTGATTGGTTAAGTCATGAATTGTCAGCATAGCCTTTGGAGGAAGGACTTTAAAAGCTACCCTAGCAACTGACTGGACGGCGAATTACATTCCTTTGTTTCGTGGACAAGTACCTGTCTAGGCGAAATACCAATGCGTGATTGGTCACTTCAGTTCTTGTAGAGACTTAGGTCGTCGTTCTTTGGGAATTTGACAAGGTGACCCTTCTTGCAATCGATCGGCAGGTACCTTTCCTTCCTTCCTAACCTTCTGCAATAGTGGTGTGAGCATGTCCGGTGATGTCTCTGTGTTTCCGTTTTCAGTGAATTTATTACTAGCCAGTATGTATCTATTCCTTTACGCTCATCCATTTCCCTCTCGTTATGACAATTATCCCTTCATACTGAATTCTGCTCGAAGTGATGTCACATATTATGACGATCAGTGCTCTCGCTTGGAACCTATCACCCACTATCCCACTGAATCACATCATCACTGTTAGATATCTTTTCATAATAGATGAGGTGTCATTGTACTCACACATGACGTATCAGTTGTTCGAGTAAGGTAAAGTTAATGCTTGTTGTATATCTCGGAGCGAGCAATAGTGGTGTGAGAATGTCCACCGTTGCCTCTTCGATGGTTTTTACTGCTTTTAGCAGAATTCCATCTGGTCCTGCTGCTTTCCCAAATTTCAGCGACTCCATGGCGTGCAGGACTTCACTTCAGCTTTCGTCAGAGTGTTTGTGTCCACTGATAGTTCTGTCACTCAGTTGCTGGTTACCTTTCTCAACGAATTGCAGATGGTGGCGGTGGTGGTCGATTCAAGAGTGCTTTGTAGTGGTCAGCTCATTGTTTCCTTTCTTCCTCCTCTTTGGTAACCAGGCTTTTTATTTCACTATCTTTCATGGTTTCATCTGAGTTGATCTCTTACCTTCCAGATAATAACCTGTTTATTTGATATAGTGTTGACAGGTCTCTGCTTTCCTACCTGCAGCCTGTTCTGCTTCAGTTGCCAGTGAGTCGTAGAAGTTTGTTTTGTCTTTGTGTGCACTCTTCCTAACTTGTTTCTCCAGTGTAGTGTTTGGTGTGTTGTATTTAGTTCCTCCTTTCGTTGTTCATCCCTTCACTATACTGCACTGCACTGCACTGCACTGCACTGCTTCATCTTCTGCTTCACCATCTTCCTCTCCCTCCTGTATCAGTTTCCATGAATCTGTCGAGGTCCATTACTTGTCTCATCTCGTCTCGCTTCCTCTTCTTCCTACCTAACACTGTTATGCAGGTTTCCTTCCACATAGCTTTCACAGAGTTCTAGTGTTCTTCCACTCATGTTTCTTCATGGATGTTGCTCAATATCTCCAATTTCCTCTGGATGACTGAAGTGAAGATGTCCTACGTTGTAGTGTCATCTTTCAGTTTCTGTTCTGGGTGTTGAACTTGATCTGTGGACTATCACCAACTTCTTTGATTTGAAGGCTTTCAACTTGATTTTGAAGGCAGGTTCCTTGCACTAGATAGTCGTGTGGGTGGTGTGAACCCCCTACATATGCTCCCCGTCTTGATCTGATCTTGTGTCCAGTAGACTGACTGCGTCTCCACTTTCTTCCTATGGAGATGAAGTCGATCTGATTTTCAGTGTAGTGTGTCCTGGAATCTGGTAAAATCCATGTTGCTTTGTGGATATCCTTGTGCTTGAACACAGTGCCTCCAATCAACAAATCGTTGAATGCACAGAAGTCTGCAAACAATTCTCCATTCTCGTCCATCACTTCACCGAGCACTTGTCGACCCATGGTTACTTCTCTTCCTGTGTTCCTGTGTTGTCCACTCCGAGTTTGACATTCATGTCACCCCACCCATTACATCGAATTCGATGTCGCTAACTGTGGTGGTGTCTTGTCCAGGACTGATTGTAGTTGTCTGTAGAATTCCTCCTTCTTCTCTTGGTTTGTGTCTGCATTATTGTGGGTGCATAGCGTATCATTGTACGATTGTGACTATCCTTCCTGTTGAGTTGAATCTTGCTGTCATGATGGTTGAGTAGATTAATTCCACTGGATGAGAGAGAGCCTTCGATGGGGTTGGGGACATCATGATAACCACTCGAAAACTCAGTGTTTTCGTGGTTGTCATCTGGGTGACGATATCGGAGTAGATTATTGACTCTGTAGTTGATAGTTTGGAGAGTCCACTTCCATTCCATCTGCAGATTCATAGCATTTCTAAGATATACCGTTTCATCTCTTTTGAGTGTGGGCAGCCTTGCCAGTCAACCAGCTTCAAACATTGTGTGAACATTCCATGTCCCTATGTTTATTTTTGGTTTCATCGAGAGAAGAGAAGAGACATCGGCCAACTGCCTTCGAGGAGGCTTTCACCAACTGGCGTCATTTTGCCTCTCGATTTCAGAGAGGATTAAGTTTAATTTTATGTTTTGCATTTTTTCTTTGTGATTTGAAGTTTCTTTAGTAATTAGATTTATTTTACGGGGTTGGGTTGGTAGCCCTATGCCCAACATTTCTTTTTTATCTCTTCTTAGGACTGGCTAGTAACTTGTGGACTAGCTAACCAGGGGTGGTTGGTGCCCTCTAAAGTCACTCAAAATAACCAATTAGCTCCTAATATTTTGACCGTAAAGGCAGATTTTTATTAAAATACTTAGGTATTCGAATTGTTGCAGCTGTTCAAATCTCAGCTAGGATGCACAAGTTCTGAACGTCATTTTACAACCTGCGTCATCTCAGGCGCCAACTAATGAGATGTTAAAGGTCGGCTGTATCTTGTCATATGACTTTGAGACATGAACATCAAAAGTAGAAGATATGAAGTAGTTACACAGTTTTGGTCATAGATGTCTTCATGGTGCAATCACGATGTCAGCAGTGTTGATTTCAGGATAAGAATATTAGGTAAGACAGGCAAGTCGATTGATGACGTTATGAACCTTTGTTGACTGAGATGGCTTGGACATGTACTGTGCATGCCAAGGCACTGCCTACCTCAACATTTTATGCTACGGGAAGGTAGTTTAGGTTGGTCGAGGGTTTAGGTTGAGCAGACCAAGATGTAGCACAGTTGATGAAGTCTCTGACTGTTAATTTAAGACGTGTGGAGTGATGTAGACTGCTCGGTTGAGGACACTTGGTAACATCGATGAAAATAAGTCACAATGGTGCATATGTATTTAGTCCTTAGAATCTTCAACATTTTGAATATCTGCACTAAGCTCTATTTTCAGATTGTTTGTTCTCTTATACACCTTTGTCTACTTTGATATCATTCTTTTTCTACCAACTTGTTCTTTGTCTTTTCAGAATTTACTGGGATCCAAACAAAACTCCACATCCAGTATTTTCTCGTGGAAATGGTTCAACCAATTCAAAACATTTGAACTTATTGAATCAAAATGAAAGACGTGACCATTGGATGTATTCCAGTTGGCATCATTTACCTCCTTATACAACACCAAAGGGTATGGAAAGATATGAATATCCTGCATCTCACTATCTGCATTTACTAAACAGACAACCAAAAGAATATGTTATACATCCCGACTTTAAGTGACAAAAATGATCACAGTTTTTGATTTGCTTTTTTGTTAACTACACAACAACAAAAGAGATAGACAAAACTTTGTTTAAATGCATCAAATCGTGTTGAGTTTATAAGTGGAGAATGTAACAGATTATTTATTTTTTTTATATTATTTATCTTTTGGGTTCCTAGTGGAACGTAGGGATTTAGTGGCACCTCTCCATTTCACACTCTTCTCTGAAGTCATTCGAGCCTGGCTCCATCACTGTCCGGAAGCTTCCATTTCTTCCTCACACCATCTTCTTCATGTCGCCCTCATCTCGGACGTCCAACTCACCGTTTCCCCTTTGGATTCCACTCAACGGCTTAATCTAACCTGGTGCGTCATGTCCCCAAACCGTCTTCTCAGAATATGTCCAATCCAGTCCATCTTCACTCTCTTCATCTGTATAATTTTTGGACGATCGGTTCCTGGTTGGTTCGTTTCCAGCCAGCCAGCCAGAGTTTCACCTTGCTTATTCCTATTATTCTGGTCATCTGATCTTCAGTATTGAGTGAGTGTAGGTGGCAGCTGTTGATGTATGTCTGCAGGTTACTGAAAATGCTTTTAACACGCCAAGTCTCTCAACCGTCACATAGCATCACTGACTTCCTTGACTGACAGTCATCTTGAAAATCCGGATGTTGTTCACGCTTTATGGTGAGTGCAGTGCAATTCAGTAGATCTCCACACTGATTACTTCAGATTAATGAAGGAAAACCTGTCATGCTGTCTTTCCGATGCTGGCTGGCTTTGACATCCCATCTGTCTCTGTGCCGCCTTTAGTTGAGACGATGCTGTCTAGGTACGTGAAATGGACAACTTCGTTTAGATTTCTCCCGTTCATAGTGATTGGAGCTCGTTATTGTTGGTGTCGATTGGGTATCTTCATCACCTCTGTCTTCTCACGTTCACCTGAACGAAGTCCTGTCTTCCTTGGTTGCTCTGTTTCTTCTACCAGCCTGTTGGTTTTTGCCTGTACATCTTTGAGTTTGTGCTACATTAGACATAAATCATCGATGAAATCCGTAACAGATTATAACAAGTTTAAAATATATGCCTTTGAAAATCAAACTGAATAAAGGATTAACGTATCAATGTGAAAGCAGTCGAATTCTGGAGACCAAGATGCAATACACTGGTTGGTAACTGGAGAACAACCAATCTCATATTTTCCACTCCTAAGTGCTGATTGAATTCTGCCAATCATATTTATAATCTGGTCACCAAGCTGGGGGGTTACAATCGTGGTGCATTTAGAGGGAATTGACAAGAAGCCCTGAACCCAGGTTTTGTGCTTGTTGGTCCTCGTCAGCAAGGCGTATCTGCAACCTTAGTGGAACTGGTGTTCCGCATGAGATGCCAACCTACACTGGTAAGCCCCTCCCTACCTTGATGGCCATATTGTGAAATGATCGCTAGAATTCAGTCAGTACTAAGGACTAGACAACTTGAGATTGGTTGCTCACCAGTGACCAGTTCAGTCTTACAGGTCATAGCATCCTGTATAGCTCAGTGGTAGCGTCACCAGTTATAACACTGGGTGGAGGGGTTTCGAAGCTCAGGGGGGATATTGCTCCTGACGGGCTTGCACACACACACACACATAGTTGATGAGTGCCAACAAGCCTGAAACCTCGTTCAAGCAAGGCTTACTACTGATTGCTTCTAATAAACTAATATCCAACAAAGAAACGAATATCACCTTATTCATTTAAAAATATGAAATGTAAAAACCCAACTGCCAGCACTGTCTTATAATGGAGATCGGAATTGATAATCGTAAAGATGAAATGTATATGTGCTGACCAACCTTTGACTCCTTAACATTCTACCATGCTAAGATGGTTCAGTGGGAGATGATAAGACTAGAAGCAAGTTACTTTAAAGTACTACAGGCTGTCGGAGGAAGGATATCTTGGCTTCGCAGAGATTCATATCAGTGACACATGGGAAGAGTAGTTTGCATTCATGTTTGTAAAAGGCAACAGTTAAATATGAACTAAATCTTCAGAAGGCATGTGCGAATGACCTGAAGAAGCTGTCATGGTCACGCTCCCAAGTTAATCAGACTATGTATACCAATTCAATTCCAGTTTATGTTAGTCAAGAAAGAAGGTGAAGTCATTAGTGTGAGTAGCATCGACCACCAACACACCTATGCTAGACCTTCAGTTCCCATCTGACAATAACTCACCTGAACTATTGTCGTCTAGACTTTCTTCAGTCTTCCGTGTTGCTAATTCAACATCTCTAAGTTTTGTAGATAATTCGAGCTCACAATACGATACACCTGGTCTCTTGATACTACTGGCCGAATTATATACCGAAGCTTTCTGCTATGTATTTGACCGTTCTATTGACCATAATGTCGATTCTTTGTGGTGAATATTATCACCCAAGGTCGCTATGTCTCCAGTTGCTCCTAATATCACTAAGGTCATATCAGCTGCCTCATGTAGAAGGCGAGTGTACTTGATTAGTACACAATGAGAATTAATGTATTCCATGAAATACATGAAAAATGTAAAACATTCCAGAAATGCAAGTGAACTGATCAGTATATCAGAGAAAGACAACTGAAGCAACTTTGGAAGCCATTTCAGCGACAACTGAAATAACTAACTAGATTTCGGTGTTTCAGCTTGTCTTTTCATAAGAAAAAATAATTGGTTACTGCCTTGGTTTTTAGGTTGACATCCAAGGTCACTCACCATTGATTGGTTGTTGCTTTTATTGAACCCACGTAGGATTAAAACATCCATATTTAGGTATTCATCTGTTGGATCACATGAAGGATAACGAGGGTGAATAGTTCCGTAATCATAAAATGCTTCTCTGTCCATACCATCCTATTGGCTTCAGACTACGACTACCTATTACCGAAACATGTACGCGAGTAATTCCAGCTTGGAAAAGATATGTATTGTAGTATCACAAGTGCTTATCAAGGTTGTATTTTTCGGAAGCCATTTTGAGAAAAACAAATAATGATGTAACAGTGATGATGAAAATTGGAGATTGTACTTAACCAGGTTTCTGTTATATCCCTGATTTGACGGTTGACCGGTGTTACTGAACATAACCTCGTTTAGGGTTTCCTGTTGCATCCTACGATTAAAGGACTGAGGGAAATGCTTAACCCTGGTCCTATTCGTTATTATTCTTTACTAGTCTCACCTTGCTTCTCGATAGCAGAAAGATGCAGCATGAACACAACTAGTTTCGATTCTCAACCGTATGTGATATTGTCCAGGCTATTGTGAGGAATGGTTTTTTCAACCATATCCAGAGAGTCGTGATGCACCAACAAGTGTTAACACAACACATATATACTTCATCCTACGATGCCAAATCATAAACTGATCATATTTCTGCTTCTTACAACCAGTCCCAGGCGGATTCAGAAACCACTGGGATGGGATTTATAACACATATCAAAGCCAACAAGGTTGATATTTCCAGACGACTTCACTAAGTGGATGGCAGTCTTCATTACGCCTTAACACGTACCAACGAAACTTGGAAGTATTTACACGGTTCCTCCACCAAAGATGATGGCGATAGAACACGCTGAGTGGTTAGGCATCATCAACTAGGAAAGGATGTCTCACAGCCGTGGAGCAGAACCTCCTGCACCAGAAGCTTAACATTGTAAAAGCGCCACAGTAACTTGGACTAGTATTACTCTGACTTTCGATATACGATTTGAAATCCTAGAGGTTACACCTCCACCAGTACTCGCATGACCGTTAAGATAAACAAACTATCTGACTAATTCTGTTAGTGCACCAGCAAATACGAGTGCACAAAAATGACCTTGTGCATCTCATAAAAGTAATAAACAATTTGCCAGTCTGAAGCAAATACCATACGTGTTGCTACTTGAATGCAGTAGTTTGTATTTTGTCGCACTGTAAAACAATATCGGTAGCTTTAAGGGGGAAGTAATTCATCTGACAGCAAGTTAACATTATCAATACACATTTCCTTCACAGCTATCTCGACAATGTTATTGAAGGCAAAATTATAGAGGGATGATGAAATCAGATGATCGAGCTGAACTCCACAACTACATTAGAACAATCAAAAGAGGTGGCTATATGATCTCCCTCTGCTCATTTTGTCAAAGGCTGTTAACAGATTAATAAACTTCTCAAAGACACCATGCTTTTACCTGACAATATCAGAGTGAAGAACTGTCCAAAGAATTGAAGGTAGTGTAAGTGTCAAGAAATATCTGCATTGTTGACCTAAAATACCTCTGATGGTACTTAAACATATCACGGAGGATGAACATGTAATCAATGCATCTACGACTCAAACGAAACATAGTCTTCTCATCATATATCTTGCAAAACATGAATTATGAAAACAGATACTGATGCCATAAAGATATTTCAAGATTGTTGTATAAATAGCGCAGATATTGCTTGAAGATGGTTACAACAACGGCCTAATTCCTTGAGTGATGGAACACTTTGTCTGCTATACCCTGTCATGCAATCTAGTCACTTCTCTGACCACAATCTAATCTTCTACCATTGAAATTGTCGAAAGTAAGTTTTCTGGGTCGAGTAGCTAGGCTGACGTAATTACTCAGAATTCCTTCTGACCTACTTTTTTGACAAGTAGGTTTCAATGAAACTAGGCTTCTGGGAAGTCAGATCTGCCCTAGTGGTTCGATGGTCGACGAAATCTCTGCACAGATACAAAAGGATCGGTTGAATTCTGCTAAATTATGCCATCTGTAGCACCACTGCGAAATCCGACTGTCTATTATGTCGAGTGTGCTGCAGTCTGCTCTGTCCTACTGTATGGTTGTGAAACATGGTCATTAAAGGTGGAAAACATGCGAAGGCTATAGGTGTTTGACAACCGTTGCCTTCGTAGCATAGGCCGTGTTTTGTGTTGTCACCATGTGGGTAACGCAGAAGTTGAGTGTAAAATTTTAGGGAGTAGAGGTGAGACAGTTGATGCGGTTGTGAACCTTCACAGACTGAGATGGCTGGCAGGAACATGTGTTACGTATGCTTAGCCAACGTCCGCTTTGTCACACACTGTCGGTTGAAGTAAGTTCAGTCAGTGTGGTTAGGCTAAAACAAGGCATCAGTGGATGAAGTCCTTGACTGTTGGTTTGAGCGATGTAGGGCAACTCAAACCAGCCAGTTGGGGCCCGCAGCACTATAGAAACCAGTGGTTGGAAACTTTAGGTGGTATGACTCAGGACCGATATCAGTGGCTCAGATGTATACACACATTACCCCCGTCCTAACGTCTATACTTAACCTGATCATTCATTGTTCGTTCCTCTCTTTTACTACTTTCGTTCCTTCTTCATCTTCCATTTTACTGCCTTGTTACTTGATGTGCTGATACGGGAACTTGCACCGTTATGCAGTAATTCCTGGTCTTATGTTGGTTGATCTTGATGATAGATGAGCTGGGACAGTTTTCGGTTAGATGCAGTCAATACTTTCCCCTGACTCATGTATTCTGATCACTAACCTATATGTTTCTTGCGCAAGTGACTTACGCATATTGCCGTAATCGCTATCGTCAGAAGAGGCATAAAACAGTGTCAAGAAACTGAGAGGAGATAGTGACCTAGTGTTTATTAGCAGGTGATTTTAAGATCCAGGTAGCTTTACTTTCCTTTATAATATATTAGGATTGCAACCAATGCCTATTTGTACTTTCTGAAGAGTCAACAACTAATTTGAATCTTGCTCGTTTGCGCATTTAATTGCAACGATAGGTGCAGCCCGTTTATTTATGTTGACTTATATCAGAAGGCGATTTTGATGGCTTCCTAAACGCGAGTTCAGCACATATTAGAGTGCAAGCGGCTGTTCCAAAAGGAACGGTAACTTTAAATGCACCGTCATCACAAGTAGGTTAACTGGAATACGATATACTTTATTTTAAGCCTGAATGGTAGGAAGAGGAAGTCTGGTGGTACTATGGTGACAGTTATACTGGTTGTTGGTGTTAGATTGAAATAGGTTGTGATCTAGACGATGTTAGAGAATAAAAATTCGTATTAATTCTCATAACCATATAATGGCTTTGTTCTAGGTCTAGATGACCCATCTGACTATTCAGGTCTCTACAGCCTAGTAGGTGGATGTATCCAAGTCCTACTGCTTAGTGCTTTTGATTTGAAGAAAAAATAATGAGTGTTATATTGCCATGACTGGCGATAACAATAGTAGGTTCGTAAGTCAATTATTCGTTCTGGATACTGGAGCCCACGTGAACGACTAGTTTGGAATCTGGTTTAATTAACTTCCATTGTAGGAGGGGGAGGGAAGGGTATTCTTGGTTGCACATCCATCACCTCCATGGGAAAATCCTCCCCGCAGTAAGACGGTGTGTAGAACCTACGTGGAAGATACTATGAATGCATGGATGTATGACAGTATCTCTGTAGACTGACAAGAACAGTATACCACTTAGATACATTTAGGGCACTCGAGTGCCAAGCATATTTATGCACAGAAGCTTGAAAACAGAGTTGGTTCTTTTCGTCAAAAGATCGATTTTCCAGAGATTCAGTAGTGTAGCTAGTTAGCACTACTTTAGAGAAAATGTAGAAAGTGTAACAATTTCCTAATCATTCCACTACTGTACTTCTCAAAACAAAGTTATTATTATTTATCCCTTGGGTTCCTAGTGAAACATAGGGTTTCAGTAGCACGTCTCCATTGCACTCCGTTCTCTGTTACCTTTTGAACCTGGCGCCACGACTGCCCACAACCTCTCATTTCTTCCTTACACCATCTCCTCCATGTCACCCTCACCTCGGACACCCAACTCTCCGTTTCACATCTCGGTTACAATCGACTGACCGGCCTGAAGCGTGATCTCACCAGTTGGTCTTCTCAGTATATGCCCGAACCAACCCAACCCAATCCATCTCCACTTCCTTCCACTGCATATTTGTTGAGTGATAGGTTCTTGGTTAATTTGTTTCCAGCCAGCCAGAGTTCCCTGTTGCTTATTCTTTCTGGCCATCCAATCTGATTGATCTTCAGTAACGAGCTAACGTAGGTAGTTGTTGATGATGTATATCTGCAGTTTGTTGGAAATCCCTTTCATAACGCGTCAAGTCTATCAGCCATACACAAGCACTGAATTGACGTTGGTGTTGAAAATCTGGATGTTGTTCAGGCTTTGTGCTGAGTGGAGAAGATCTCCACACTGGTTTCAGGTTAATAAACGTCAGTCTCACTTTCCCAATCTTGGCTTTGACGTCCTCATGTGTGCCTGTAGTTGAAACAGTGCTGCCAAGGTAGGTGGGTGAGTGAAAGAGACTACTTCCTTCAAGTTTCTCTCGTTGATGGTGATTGGAGCATGTTGTCGCTGTTGTTATTGGTTGGGCATCTTCATCACCTCTGTCTTCTCTGTATTCACTTGAAGTCCCAACTTCGCTGTCCTGCCTCTTCTGTCAACTTGTCATTTTTCGCCTATAGATCTTCAAGTTTGTGTGACATTAGGCATAAGTCATTAGCGAAATCCAATCTCCTAGGATCTTTTCCGCCGTCCAGCGTATCCCCTTTTCTCGCTCCTCACAGTTTGTTGGATGATCCAGTCCGCTACAATCAGGAATATCATGGGTGATGGTAGACAGCCTTGTTTTACTCCTGTCTTCACTTCAAAGGCATCACTGAGCTTTCCACTGTGAATTACTTGGCATGTGGCGTCTTCATATAATTGATAAAGGTTTGTGGTATTCCGTAGTGTTGAAGCAGTTGCCAAATTACTCCTCGGTCAACGTTGTCAAAAGCTTCTTCAGAGTCGATGAGGTTGAGTTAGAGAGTTGACCGCCATTCTATACTCTGTTCTATGGTGATGCGAAGCATTGCGATTTAGTCCGCACAGGATTTGTACTTCCTGAGTCCAGCCTGTTCTAGTCGTTGTTTTGGATCCAGCGCATTCTTCAGTCTCTCCAGGATGATGCGACTTAATATTTTGATTGAGATGGACAGGATCATGATACCATTCCAGTTCTTGAAAAGACTCAGGTCGCCCTTCTTTGGGAGTTCGACAAGGTAGCTCTTCTTCAAATCTCCAGGTGCCTTTCCTTCCTTCCAAACCTTCTGCGATAGTGGTGTGAGCCTGCCGGCTGTTGTCTCTGCGTCTGTTCTCAGTGCTTGTGGCGGAATCCCATCTGATCCTGCTGCTTTACCGCATTTCAGTAACTTTATGGTATTCAGGACTTTGACGTTTGTTGGGGGATTTGTGTTCACTTGTAGTTCTGTTGCTGGGCTGGAGGTGGTATTTCTGGACGAAGTGCAGGTGGTAGTCGATTCAAGAGCTTTTCGAAGTAGTCAGCCCATCATTTCCCTTGTTACTCTTCTTTGGTAATTAGATTTCCTTCATCATCCTTCATTGGTTTCATCTGAGTTTATCTCCTCCGAGATAGTAATCTGGTTATTTCATATAATGTCGTCAGGTCTCTCCTACCTGCAGCCTGTTCTGCTTCACTTACAAGTGTTTCGTAGAAGTGTCTTTTGTATTTCCGAGCACTCTTCTTCACTTCTTTGTCCGGTGTAGCGTTTCAAAGGTTGTGTTCAGCTCCTCTTTTCGTTGTTCATCCTTACACTGGTTTGTCTTCTGCTTCACCATCTTCCTCTCCTCTATCAGCTTCCATGTGTCCATCGAGATCCATTCCTTATCTTCTTTCTTCCTAATACGGTTATGCAGGTTTCCTTCCACATCTCTTTTAAAAGGTCCCAGTGTTCATCCACACACGTACCTACAGGAATGTTGCTAGATATCTCCCATTTTGTCTTGATGGCTGACGGAAAGATCTTCCTTGTAGTTTCGTCCTTCAGTTTCTGTACTGGGTGTTGAACTTGAACTGTGGCCTACCATAAACTTCTTTCAAGGCTTTCAACTTGATTTGGAAGGTTCTTAGTGCTAGGTAGTGGTCGGAGCTTACATCTGTTCCGCTTCTTGACCTAGTGTAAAGTAGGCTGCGTCTCGACTTTCATGAGATTGAGATGAAGTCGATCTGAATTTTAGTGTAGTGTGTCCTGGAATCTGGTGAAATTCATATCGCTTGGTGAATATCCTTGTGCTTGAGCACAGTGCCTCCAATCAACAAATCGTTGAATGCACAGAAGTCTGCAAACAATTCTCCATTCTCGTCCATCACTTCACCGAGCGCTTGTCGACCCATGGTTACTTCTCTTCCTGTGTTCCTGTGTTGTCCACTCCGAGTTTGGCAGTCATGTCATCCCACCCATTACATCGAATTTGATGTCGCTAACTGTGGTGGTGTCTTGTCCAGGACTGATTGTAGTTGTCTGTAGAATTCTTCCTTCTTCTATTGGTTTGTGTCTGCATTATTTGTGGGTGCATAGCGTATCATTTTAGGATTGTGACTTCCCTTCCTGTTGAGTTGAATCTTGCTGTCATGATGGTTGAGCAGATTGGTTCCACTGGATGAGAGAGAGAGAGAGAGCCTTCGATGGTGTTTGGGACATCATGATAACCACTCGAAAACTCAGTGTTTTCGTGGTTGTCATCTGGGTGACGATATCGGAGTAGATTATTGACTCTGTGGTTGATAGTTTGGAGAGTCCACTTCCATTCCATCTGCAGATTCATAGCACTTCGATGCGATGCCTTCTGATCACCTTTGCAATCTGGACAGCCTTGCTAGGTTCAAACATAGTGCGGGCATTCCGTGTCTGCACCCTTACTTTCGCTTTTATCGACAGAAGAGAAGACACATCGGCCAACTGGCTTCCCGAAGGCTTTCACCAACGGCATAATTTCGTCTCCTCGATTCCAGCGAGGAATAAGTTTGTTTTTATTTTTGATATTTTGTCTGTGCTTTGAAATTTCTGTAGCGGTCGGATAGGTTTTACGGGGTAGAGTTGCTAGCCCTATGCTCAACCTTCCCTCTTTACCCGGGCTTAGGACCGGTTAGTAATTAGTGAATTAGTTAACCAGGAGAGGTAAGAAAAACAAAGTTAAGGAGATGAAAAATAATATTTTATATAAATTCGTAGGCATATCAAATTCATACATATAAATGGCATGTTAATTGTTAGATTCTTGTTCTCCTCATCAAAGAATTAACTTGTAATCTAACTAGTATGTTGGAAAGTTGGGATCAATTTCTAAAGACCATGCAGACAGGCCTCCGGCAACATCACACACTACAAAGTCACTATTGGAGTCATCGCCATCAGCACAAACCAATTCTTTCGATTGTCAGGATTTGAGCATCGAAAAGACATCAATGCACTTCCTAATTTTGGTGCAGCTTCTGCTGACTATTTCCACGATGACACAGAAGTATAACTGAAACGAAAAACAGGTAAGAGCTTGAATACAATCAGTAATTGGATACTACTTAGAGGTAAATCAGTAGTAATGTTATATAACTGAATCTTGGTTTGGAATGAAATAAAGCATTACAGTCACAAAGTTATTCAGAAGTAGTATTCATCATGGACTGATATCAATTGGGGAACCATTGACAACCTGGGAACATTGGACAGCTGTTTCGTCCTGGTATGGGACTCATCAGCGGTACGCACCCACGGTCCGGCTAAGGACGGAACTCAGTACCTTCAGGTTTCACGGCGAACGCGTTAACCATTTAGCAACCAGGTCGGTTTTCAGTGGTTCACAATTTCCAACTTCTGTCAAATCACGACATAGCGTGACTATCACCCGAGGTCTTTAGTCAGCATCCTCAGAAAGTGATACCTGCAACCGTGACGAGACTGATGTTCCTGCCCCCTCCTGAGATTCTAATCCACATCATAAGTGCTCCAGCCAGTCACTGCATAGAGACTAATCTCATATTGTCTAGTCCTGAGGGGTGATTGAATTTTATCGATCATGTAGTCATACCAAGGTAGGAGGTTTACTATCTCTAGAAACCGATATTCTAATTCACTATCTAAAGGGATTACTTCCATGATGCGCTTTTAATGTCCCATTTACATTTAGTAACTACTTTTATCGACAAAAAAAGGCAGTATTCGTGAGTTCACCAGTGGGGCCCTCTTCTAGCAGCAGATTGCTTCATGGATAGTTTAAAAAATAGTATACTACAACATCTAATCAATCATTGTGCAATCCCATCTGTTAAGAAGATATATGGACGGTATCTTTATCATCTGTGATGAGAAAGTTGATCTTGATGCCGCTCCCCTTAAATTCACTGAGATTCGATCCTTCTAGCAATTTGACGATCGAAGTTAAGAACAACTCAGAAGTTCATTTTTTTTGATATTTCTTTGAAGAGAAAATTTGATAACTCTTCAAAACAACCAATCTATAGGAAGCCAATATGATGTAGACAACACATTCATTTTCAAAGTTTTCTACAACCAATTTGAACCATGTTTATTCGCTCTACACAAGAATCAGAAGAATATGCACAATTGACACAATAGAGACAGTGAATTAAAGCATCTTTGAAAAGTACTTCTTCAAAATGGTTATCACTCAATCAATGTTCATCGAAAAAAAAACACATGAAGCTAAACAATTACAAGAAGAAGTACTTACTCTTCTTAAGAAGACCTAATTCATGAATATTGAGTTCAGAGAGGACAACACATCAGAAATACTGAACAACTATTTCTCCAAAACATTCAAACAAACATTCTGTCCCATCGAACTATAAATGGTTTAATCTAATCGACAGTTGATTTAAGCAAGTGTGAAGAACAAGCTACCGCTTTGAACCACATGTATATGTGTCTATCAGTTTACTTGTGATTGTAAAGCTGGTTATGTAGGCCTCACAAAAAGTAGTCATTCTAAACGCATCTCAAAGCACCACCCTCGTTGGCTGTACAGAGGAGAAGGCAAGTCAAGTAATAGCTCGATATTAGATCATTTAGTCAACTCTAATTATGTCGCTTCCCTACAGTCTTCTTTTGAAATCCTATACAAGTCAAAACCAAACAGCTATAAAGGAGTACGGAAGCGTTGACAATAGAACAATTAAAACCCAAGCTCTATGTACAGGAGAGGTAAGTCTCTTTTCTTATTCTGTCTTAGTCACAATCCTTCCTTGAGTTTTTTTTATTACTCCAATATTCATCTTACTCTGATTGACTGATTACTTTTATTGCTTTTACTTCCCTACATTTTTACATGGTAGTTCTAATTTTTCATTAAAATTCTTATAATATTTTATTCAGATTATTAACCATTATTTTTCATCTATTTATTTACTAACCTATTTTAGTCATCATCTCAATTGACTGTATATTTTCATGATACACCCAGTAATTACGCAATCTCTTTCCAATTCCATATAAGACTTGTTTATTTGATTTATAACACACAGTGAGTGATATAGTATTACTTAATTGATGACCATTTGAGTATAAATGATCACTGTTCATAATCATATCAATGCAATCACACTACTTTCGAAATATGATTTTTTTATGGGCCTGTCACTAGTGTTCTTCGATTTCATCAATAATAAAGTTTTCCACTATAGGTTTTGTGTCAATTCCTAATAAACGTGTTGGGTGTTAGTTGATTCGATGAATGAAGATTCAGTAATCAATCTCTTAACCTCACTTAGTTTACTAGTCGGCCCTAAACTCGGATAAAGAGGGAAATTTAGGTACAGGGCTAGCAACCCTACCCCGTAAAATAAATCCAATTACTAAAGAAACTTCAAATCACAAAGAAAATTCAAAACATAAAATTAAACTTAATTCTCTCTGAAATTCGAGAGACAAAATGACGCTAGTTGGTGAAAGCTTCCACGAAGCAGTTGGCCGATGTCTCTTCTCTTCTCTCGATGAAACCAAAAATAAACATACGGACATGGAATGTTCACACAATGTTTGAAGCTGGTTGACTGGCAAGGCTGCCCACACTCCAAAAGAGATGAAACGGTATATCTTAGAAATGCTATGAATCTGCAGATGGAATGGAGTGGACTCTCCAAACTATCAACTACAGAGTCAATAACCTACTCCGATATCGTCACCCAGATGATAACCACGAAAGCACTGAGTTTTCGAGTGGTTTTTATGATGTCCTAAACACCATCGAAGGAGAAATGGAGCAACATCCACGAAAAAACATGAGTGGAAGAACACCAGAACTCTGTGAAAGCTATGTGGAAGGAAACCTGCATAACAGTGTTAGGAAGGAAGAAGAGGAATCAAGACAAGACAAGGAATGGGTCTCGATAGATACATGGAAACTGATACAGGAGGGAGAGGAAGATGGTGAAGCAGAAGATGAAGCAGTGCAGTGCAGTGAAGTCAGTGAAGGGATGAACAACGAAAGGAGGAACTGAATACAACACACCAAACACTACACTGGAGAAACAAGTTAGGAAGAGTGCAAGCAAAGACAAAAGAAACTTCTACGATACACTGGCAACTGAAGCAGAACAGGCTGCAGGTAGGAAAGTAGAGACCTGTCAACATTATATCAAATAAACAGGTTATTATCTGGAAGGTAAGAGATCAACTCAGATGAAATCAATGAAAGATAGTGAAATAAAAAACCTGATTACCAAAGAGGAGGAAGAAAGGAAACAATGAGCTGACCACTACAAAGCACTCTTGAATCGACCACCACCGCCACCACCTGCAATTCGTTGAGAAAGGTAACCAGCAAGCGAGTCACAGAACTATCAGTGGACACAAACCCTCCGACGAAAGCTGAAGGGAAGTCCTGAACGCCATATAAGTTACTGAAACCCGCGAAAGCACCATGACTAGATGCGATTCCTGCACAAACACTGAAAAACAACAAAGAGACAACAGCAGACATGCTCACACCACTATTGCGAAAGGTTTTGAAGGAAGCAAGGAAGGAAGGAAAGGTATCTACTGATAGATTGGAAGAAAGGTCACCTTGTCAAACTCTCAAAGAACGACGACCTACGTATTTGCAAGAACTGGTGCGGAATAATGCTCCTTTTCCTGTTCACCCCCACAAAATATTAAGCCACATCATCATCCTGGAGAGACTACAAGGTACTCTGGATTCAAAATTGCGACCGAAATAGGCTGGCTAGCTGACTGGCTGACTTCAGAAAAACAAATCAAGTGCTCAACAAATTGTAACGCTACGCATCATCACAGAACAGAGCATAGAAAGCCAGTCAACTCTCTACCTCAACTTCATCGATTCAGTAAAGGCCTTCGATAGCGTCGACCGACAAGTAATTTGGAAACTGCTCCAACACTACCGAGTACCACAAACCTTTATCAACCTCACTCAACAGCTATATGCTTCATGATGCTATACCCCGATCGATTCACAATGGAAAGCTCAGTGATGCTTTTGGAGTGAGGATATTAAGGAGTAAGACAAGGTTGCTGCCTTCTATCACACTTGATCTTCGTGATTGTGGTTGGCTTGACTTGACCGGACTGGATCATGTAAGAAACTGTGAGGAGCTGTGAGAAGATGGGCATACACTGTTTGACCGGTGAAAAGACCCCAGGAGAAGATTTGGATTTCACCCATGATGATTTATATCTAATATCTAATGTCGTGCACAAACTCGAATATCTACAGGTGAAAACTAACAAGTTGGCATAAAAGGCAGGGCAGCTAAGGAAGACGGGACTTCGTTCAGGTGAACGTAGATAAGACACAGGTGATGAAGATACTGAACCAACAACAACAAACACAACAAGAGGCAGCGATCACCATGAAGGGGAGAAATGTAAACGAAGTTGTCCATTTCACGCACCTGCCTACCTTGGCAGCATCGTTTCAACTACAGGCGACACACAAACACACATAAGGATGTCAAAGTCAGCCAGCATCGGAAAGACAATAAGACAGGTCTTTTTTCATTGATCTGAGATTATCAGTGAGGAGATCTACTGCACTGTACTCAGCTTAAAGCGTGAACAACATCCGGATTTTCAAGATGACTGTCAGTCAAGGAAGTCAGTGATGCTATGTGACGCTTGAGAGACTTGGCGTGTTGAAAGCATTTTCAGTAACCTGCATACATACATCAACAGCTGCCACCTACACTCACTCGATACTGAAGATCAGATGACCAGAATAATAGGAATAATCAAGGTGAAACTCTGGCTGGCTGGCTGGCTGGAAACGAACCAACCAGGAACCGATCGCCCAACAATTATGCAGAAGAAGAAAGTGGAGATGGATTAGATTGGATTGGATATACATTGAGAAGACCACTTGGGGATATCACGAGCCAGGCACCCGAGTGCAACCCAAGTGGGAAACGACGAGTTGGGAGTCCGAGGGTGACATGGAGAAGATGGTGTGAGGAAGAAATGAAAGCTTCTGGGCATTTATGGAGACAGGTTCAAAGAAGTATAGGGAATAGAGTAAAATGGTGAGGTGGTACTGAAGTCCTATATTCCACTAGGAAGCCAAGTGACAAATAATCATAATAATCAATCCCTCACTCTCTCCACCTAGTTATAGTTGCTTTGAGTACATTGGTTGTATCCCACCCATCCTATCATGTGATTGTATGTTAATGCACACGTTGCAATTGTCGACTTACTTTCTAGATTACTGATCTTATTGAGATCTGCCATTCTACCTTTAGCTAAATTGGTATGTTCCGCTAATCTAAATGAATCCAACCGGCTAGTTTGACTTATGTGCTTGACCTCACAGTAATTACATGGACTTCAGGACATTTCATCCAATGTCAGTCAGTGAAGGCAGGTTTAGTCATATGTCTAAATGACAGAGCTAGAAAACTGACCAGTCAGTACAAAGACCTAAACAAGGAACTGAAACATATAAAAAAAGCCCTAGTAACTAATAATTATCCTCCACAGTTTATTAGAAGTTTTAAGTACACGTAAGAAACAAAATAACAGTAACATGAATACGAATACTAATGACAACACGAGTAGAAATAAGTTGAAAGCTTCTATTGTGTTACCATACCATATAGGGAAAGTACATCAGAAACTTTACGTAAGGTTTTCAGCAAAGCTGGAATTAAGGTGGCATTTAAACCTACAAAGTCATTGAGAAATGAGCTTCGTCGGCTTCAGGATCCGATAGACACAATTAAGTAAAATAATCGAATCTATCAAATTTCATGTAATGAATGTGACGGGTCAAGTAAATAGGTGAAACTAGCCGGTTGCATTCATTTAGATTAGCAGAACATACCAATTTAGCTAAAGGTAGAATGGCAGATCTCAATAAGATCAGTAATCTAGAAAGTAAATCGACAATTGCAACGTGTGCATTAACACACAATCACATGATAGGATGGGTGGGATACAACCAATGTACTCAAGGCAACTATAACTAGGTGGAGAGAGTGAGAAATTGTCTATTATTATTTTCAGCGATGTTACCTATAACCTTTAACCACTGATTTCTTTCGTCTCGAGAACACCAGACACGTAGTCACGTCTTGCTCTGGCCACCCTAAACTCTTTTCCAACCTTATTCAACTTCCGCCAGCATGATACGTTGAGGTAGGCAATAGATCGGTATGCGCAGTACAAGTTCAAGACATCTCAGACGATAAAGGTGTACAACTTCATCAATCATTTTTCCCCAGACGGTGATTCCACTAAATGCTATCTGAGATAGCCAAGGTTTAGCAAACTTGCATTACTATTACTGGGTGATGAATGGAAATGAAAAAAAATTAGGATCGCATCAGGATTCCTACCAGCGACCTTCGGGGTTATCGACCCACTATTCTACCAACTATAAAAGAAGAAATCTAGGCTTGTTCACCTATTTTGAGCCAGAATAATTCATATATATACGTTTTTTGAAGAATCACAACTACATATCGTGTATTGATTAATTCAGCTCAACTCAACAAAAAGTAGCACAAACACTCGAGTTACATATGAAGAAGTGATTCATGCATTGCTTCGAAACAGAAACTTAACAATTCCATTTATTGTGTAATATTGGTGCTGTTGTTAGTACCAATCACTATTAACTGAAGAAATCTAAAGGAAGTTGTCTTTTTCACCTACCTACCTGCCTGGGCAGCATCCTTTCTACTACAGGCGGCACAGGCGAGGATGTCAAAACCAGGATCTGAAAAGCAAGACAGGCTTTCATTAATCTGAAATCAGTGTGGAGATCTACTGCACTCAACACAAAGAACAAGATCCGGATATTCAACATCAATGTCAATTCAGTGCTGCAATATGGTTCAGAAACTTGGCGTGTCATGGAATCATTTCCAACAAACTACAGACATTGGTCAACAGCTGACTACACTGACTCGATACTGAAGATCAGCTGGCCAGAATAATGAGAATAGGTAACAAGGAACTCTGGCTGGTGACGAACCAACCAAGAACCTATCACCCAACAAATATGCACTGGAAGGAAGTGGAGATAGAGATGGATTGGGCATACACTGAGGAGGCCGATTGGGACATCACGCACCAGGCCAGTCGCTCGAGTGGAATCCAAAGGGGAAACGACGAGTAGGGCGTCCGACTGTGACATGGAGGAGATAGTGTGAGGAAGAAATGAAAGGTTGCGGTCAGTCGTGGAGCCATGTTAAGGAGACAGACTGAAGAGAAGAAAGTGGAATGGAGACGTGCTACTGAAGCCCTATGTTCCACTAGGAACCCAAGGGAAAAATAATAAATAATAATAATATATATGTAATATTGGAAAGTAAAATATGCATACCAGGAAAAGGTAGGGTAGCACCTTTATTACTGATCCCATTGTCAATAGCCTCTCGGATATCAGATATAACTGATTCACGAAAAAGTTCATTGAACGGAATATCTAATAAATAAAAAACGATGATTTATTGTAGAGAAATAGTAAATGGCTTGTAAAACATAAGTTAAGTAATAAATAGATTTTCAGACATACATCCCCGTATCATGCCTCCGTGGCATAGTGAGTAACCCCTCAGCATTTGAAGTGATGGCTACGAGGTTCAAATCTTAGTGAGAGCAACATCACTTACTGGGGTGCAGGCACATCTAGTTAACGAGTCCCGAAATAGGACGAAACAAGCGTCCTGGATTCCTCGGCTAGCCACAACCAACCAAATTACCATAAAACCCCATACTCTGTTGTTTAACATCTTCTTAACTACTTGCTCAAATACTACTTAATTTATTTCTCATAATCATGAAAATTTTCTTCAAACCTCAGTAAACGACATTATTTACCATGCAAATGTATCCATACTCTAACGATAACATCTTACGCGTCTTGTGTGATACATTTCCAATTGAGTTGGATTAGTAGTTGGAGATTTGTGCATACAATATTTTGTACAAAGAGTGGAAGCAATCATACATCGAGTCAGTGCTGATTACGATAAAAATCAGTATAGCTCACTGATATATTACTGCTAACTATTGGGAAGACTGGATAAAATAATCTATGATACCAAAAGGTATCCTCTCCATAAAAAATTATTCTTTCATTAGAATTTAAGGTAGTTGAAAAATATTTATGTGTACAAATTACTGACCGTCTGCTATATACCCCCTAATTTGGCATAGCCTTTGACTGATCTTTTGCCCATGACCTTGAAATAATCTATCATACCTGTTTTTACACTATTACTAGTTTTTCTACTCTGCCCTCTCAAGGTTGAACACTCATTGGTTGTTCACTATTTTAACCTAAATGTGGATTGTGTTCTCAAGGTCACTCGGAAATCTATGTATATTCAGCATCGCTCTCAATTGTATTGACTGTCTAGTGTTAATGCTTGTATTACACCGTCGTTGATTGGACCGAATTGATCAGCCTCTGTTGGTATATGGGCTCCTATACGGATGCCTCAAAATTGCCTGTCTTTTAATTATGTAAAGTAATGATGGGCAGCAGCTAGCATTGGAATCCAGGATGCGCGTTTCGTCCCATTTGGAACTCGTCAGCTGGGTGTACCTGCCTCCCAGTGACCGATTTTGTTCCCACTGGGTTGTTCTCACGTTTAAAGTGATCGCTCCCGAGTCCCGTTGGGAACAACATCACTCACTGGGAGGCAGGTACATCCAGCTGACGAGTCTCAAATAGGACGAAAGGTGCATCCTGGATTCCACTGCTCGCCACTGCCCAACATTACTATACATGTATTGACTGTTGTTTATCTCCTCTTTTTGTGTTCGCCTGTTAGTGATATTGTTGTTGTAGTGGTTGACGTTCTGATTTGCGTTAGATTCGTTTTGTATCGCTCGTAGACTTTTAGGTCACACTACCGGTTCATAGCACCATCAACTCACATCACGAAGACAGGGCTATTATCCTTGACATAAATTAATTATTTGATTGATAATAAGTGAGTTTTAGACATTAGTCTTACATTAACTCTAAACAAGTAGGTAGGGATAATGTACCAGCAAAAGACAATGCTATACACCGACCAATGTTTACGAGTTACCTAAGATCTACTTGACTGAGTGCAAGTCGCAGGAGGAAATGACACAGACAGATCGATAAGGAACCTAACATAAAATTATATAACCGGTGGAGATAATGGAGGCCAATATAACATATTTGAGTGCTTGTAAAACAGGTTATTATTATTCATTATTATTAGTCCCTTGGGTTCCTAATGGAACATAGGGCTTCAGTAGCACGTCTCCATTGCACTCCGTTCTCTGCTACCTTTTGAACCTGGCGCCACGACTGCCCACAAGCTCTCATTTCCTCCTCGCACCATCTCCTCCATGTCACCCTTGCCTCGGACACCCAACTCGTCGCTTCCCATGGGGATTCCACTCGAGCAACTGGCCTGACGCGTGATGTCCCCAGTCGGCCTTCTCAGTGCATGCCCAACCCAATCCATCTCCACTTCCTTCCAGTGCATATTTGTTCAGCCATAGCTTCTTGGTTGGTTCGTTCCCAGACCCCCTTGATGCTTATTCTTTCTGCCAATCCATCTGATCTTCAGTAGCTAGCCAGCGTAAGCAGATGTTGATAAATGTCTGTAGTTTGTTGGAAATCCCTTTCGTAAGGCGCCAAGTCTCTGAACCATACAGGAGCACTGATTTGACTGGTATTGGTGTTGAGAATCCGGATCTTGTTCCAAATGCTGAGTGCAGAAGATCTCCACTCTGGTTTCAGGCTAATGAACGCCTGCTTTTCCGATTCTGACTTTGACATCCTCGTCTGTCCCGCCACCTGTAGTTAAAACAGTGCTTCCTAGATAGGTGAAGGAGGTTACTTTCTTTAAGTTTCTCCCGTTCATGGTGATTGGAGTTTGTTGTTGTTATTGTTGGAGTTGTTGGTGCGGTATCTTCATCACTTCTGTCTTCTCTATGTTCACCTGAAGTCCCGTCTTCGCTGCCTCACCCCTTCTGCCAACTTGTTAGTTTTGGCCTGTAGGTCTTCAAGTTTGTGTGACATCAGGCACAAGTCATCACTGGCGAAATCCAGATCATCTAGGTTCTTTTTCGCAGTCCAGCGTATCCCCCTCTTCTCGCTCCCCACTGTTTGCTGCATGATCCAGTCCACTACAATCAGGAATATCATGGGTGATAGTAGGTGGCAGCCTTGTTTCACTCCTTCCTGTCTTCACTTCAAAAGCATCACTGAGCTTCCCATTGTGAATTACTTGGCTGGCATGTGGCGTCTTCATATAGTTGTTGAATGAGGCTGATAAATGTTTGCGGTACTCCGTAGTAATGAAACAGTTTCCAAATTACCTCTCGGTAAACAGGTTAATTGACTAAAATGAATAATTAGGAACAAAAAAACAAATATGATGATGAACAACTTACGCAACGATGACTTCAAATGGCAGATATCGAATTCAGTCTTCGGGCGTATATCGATAAGCAAGTACGACGATTGAGAGTCTATATAATTTTTTAATTGCTAAACAAAATAATTGTTATATATATACACACACGGAAAACATTTTTATTTACTTGAACAGTAATACGACGATTATTCATAATCATATTCATATTCCGTGGCTGTCAAATGAAAAATAATAAAAAAACATGACACATGAATGACTAATATCACTCGAAAGGAAACTATTACATAAATTAACAAAACTTTTCAATGCCACATCAACCTTATTCGCTAAGAAATTATACGTATGTCTGCACTTCGTGAGAAATACTTTTCATAAGGCGCAAAGTTTCTCAACCATCACACAGAAGCACTGACTTTTTTAACTGAGATTAGTGTTGAAAATCCGGATCTTGTTCAGGCTTCATGCTTAATGCATTGCAGTAGATCTCCACATTGATTATTTCAGATTATTGAAAAAAGACCTGTCTTGTTGTCTTTCCGATTCTGGATGGCTTTGACATCCTCAGCTGTGCCTGTGCCACGTGTAGTTGAGTCGTTGCTGTGTAGTTAGGTAGGTAGGTAGGTAGGTAGGTAGGTAGGTAGGTAGGCAAGGGAAATGGACACTTTCGTTTACATTTCTCCCCTTCATGGTGATCACTGCCTCTTGTTGTGTTTGTTGTTGTTGGTTCAGTATCTTCATCACCTGTGTCTTATCTACGTTCACCTGAACGAAGTCCCGTCTTCCTTAGCTGCCCTGCCTTTTATGCCAACTTGTTAGTTTTCACCTGTAGATATTCCAGTTTGTGCACGACATTAGATATTAGATATAAATCATCATGGGTGAAATCCAAATCTTCTCCTCGAGTCTTTTCACCAGTCAAACAGTGTATGCCCATCTTCTCACAGCTACTCACAGTTTCTTACATGATCCAGTCCAGTCCACTCCACACCAGTCAAGTCAAGTCAAGTCAACCACAATCACGAAGATCAAGTTTGATAGAAGGCGGCAACCTTGTCTTACTCCTTAATATCCTCACTCCAAAAGCATCACTGAGCATTCCATTGTGAATCAATCGGGGTATAGCATCATAAAGCATATAGCTGTTGAGTGAGGTTGATAAAGGTTTGTGGTACTCGGTAGTGTTGGAGCAGTTTCCAAATTACCTGTCAGTCGATGCTGTCGAAGGCCTTTACTGAATCGAGGTAGAGAGTTGACTGGCTTTCTACACTCTGTTCTGTGATGATGCGTAGCATTACAATTTGTTCAGCACTTGATTTGTTTTTCTGAAGTCAGCCAGTCAGCTAGCCATCCTATTTCGGTCGTAATTTTGAATCCAGAGTACCTTGTAGTCTCTCAACGATGATGATGTGGCTTAATATTTTTTTGGGGGTGGACAGGGAAAGGAGCATTATTCCGCACCAGTTCTTGCAAAGACGTAGGTCATCGTTCTTTGAGAGTTTGACAAGGTGACCTTGCTTCCAATCTGTCAGCAGATGCCTTTCCTTCCTTCCTTCAAAACCTTTTGCAATAGTGGTGTGAGCATGTCTGCTGTTGTCTCTTTGTTGGTTTTCAGTGTTTCTGTAGGAATCCCATCTAGTCGTGGTGCTTTCCCGGATCTCATCAACTTCATGGCTTTCAGGACTTCACTTCAGCTTTCGTCGGGGGGTTTGTGTCCACTGATAGCTCTGTGGCTGGGCTGCTGGTGGTATTTCTGGACGAGTTCCAAATGGTGTTCCATTAAAAGATCAGTAGGTAAATATTAGAACACGAATCCCGATGCCCGCCGTTACGACATTGATTAGTTACTGAAATATAACCAACTTCATGTTGTCTAGTCATAACTGGTTATGGGATTTGATTGATGATTTTGCAATGTGGCCACCAGGTAAGGAGACGCTGGTTCGAATCTTAGGGGGGGGGGGGGGGAAGGACATGAATTCTGTAGAGGTTGCTGATGCCTTACTAGCAAGTGCTAAAGAGCACGAAACTTAGGTCTCCAGGACTTCCTGCCGATTTCCTGCATCCGACTAACATCTGCCTATAACAAGTAACTGCTAATTTTGGTTGCCAAACAAGGATAGACTGAAAGATTCAATAAACAGGGTACGAGTCTCTATATTCCAAAGCAGTGCGCAAAGAACAAGTGGATAGAAGAAGACTGATATCAAAGTAGAGCAAACAAGATTAGTAAAAATGTCCAGACGGTACAGGATGTCACAGAGTAAATGAATCTGCGCCATCGCGAATGATTTTCAGGATCTCAAATCACTGATGTCTATTATTTACACGACTGAGGTCAACAGTCGGAAACTTAAGGATTAGTGTCACTGCTTGGTTTGGCCACCGTGACTAAGCCTTTTTCCAACCCAGTCCTGCTTCGACTAAAATTGCCCATTGAGGTAAGCGATGGGTCATCATTTCAGTCAGTGAAGGTTCTCACAACCTTATCGAATGATTTGCCCAACTTGTCCGGAATACCCACTGCCTAACCTCGACATTGCTCACATGATGATTGTATCATAAATGGTCAATGCTGCGATGACACATAGAGTTAAAAACCCGTAATCTCTTCAGACCCTCTACTTTCAACAGTCACGTTTTAATACCATACAGCAGGACAGAGTATACTGCAGTACAGTATACATGTTTTTTGATAGATAGTCAAATATCTCGCTAGCTCCAGAAGTGATGTAAGTTGGTAAATTTCGAACAGGTCTTTTGTATGCAAGCTGAAATTTTGTCAGCTAGTAATCCATTTGGACTGATGCAACTTTTCAAGTAAGAGAAGTAATCAACACATTCAACTATCTCACTACAGATTATAAAACTCAGGGTTGACGAAGACTAATCTTACATCTGATAGGTGCAAAACACATATAAAACACACTCGGATTTCTGCTTAAGGCATTCAGATGATCCTAAATTTTGTCGGCTTCATCGCCCAATACAATAATACCATTTTTCTAAGTGGTACGAAATACTTTTACGACTGTCTTCTAAGCGCATAGGTTAATAGAGTAAACGTTTATATCTAATGCTAGTAGTAAACAGCAAGCAAAAAAATACTTCTCGGTATAATTCTCATGTGATGCAACTCGTCCATGATAAAACTAAGTAAATGATATATAGGTTATGCTTACAATAATATGTTTTATAAATCTGCATTCAATGAGATAATTACTTGGACACATGCTATGCATTCCCATCACAGTATACATCAATGTGTAAGTTTTACCTGAAATTCATTAGGTCACGATAATCATCAACACCTTGTGATTTTGGCTGAGTGATTTTCAACGGAAACCCTTGTGACATCACAGTTAAGCAGTTGAAAAACCACTCAGCTATGAGAAATATCAACATAGACCGGTCCATCGAAGTCAATTAGCTAGCTAGATTCAGGTGATCTAAACAATTCCGACCTTCATCTTCCATTTTATTGCCTTGTTACTTTATATGCTGACATAAGGTGTGGCAACTTGGACCATTATACAGTAATCCCTGGTCCTATGATAATCTTGATTGACTAAATTGTGAGGTGAATATGTCCCGGTACACTACAGATGACCTTGGCCCAAAACGAAGATCTCTATGACCTTTTTTATACACTTGCATATACCAAGTGTATATACACTGGAATATCGAAATAGCAGAAAGGCATAAAATTATTATTGTATAGTTGTGAGAATGAAATATTGAAAGAGATATAGCTGTTCAGCTTTTGCTGCTTGATGACAATCGTTTTCAAAACTGTTCACAACAATTCTTCGACAATATACCCAACTGACGAGCTACGTAGGCCAGAAGATAAGTGAAGTTTCGCTCTTCTATTTAACATATATAGTAGGGATTTCAAATGCTATGTGAAAGTAAAACCTGAGTAAACACTATGCGGAAATCGACACCTCCAAAGAAATAATGGTAGTCTATCGGTAGTGTTCAGAAGTCGGTAAGACAAAATAAAAGTTGATTAGGCATCTATGCAATTAAGATCTCACTAGATGAATAATTTCTGAATTTGAGGGTTTGTGGGGATTTGGTGGTTTTTTCAAGTTTGTATTCATCATGGACTGATATCAACCGGAGGAACACTGAAAACCTGGGATCACTGGATAGCTGTTTCGTTCTAGTATGGAACTGCTCAGCAGCGCGCACCCCACCCCGTCAAGGATTGGACCCACGACTTTTAGGTCCCGCGGCCAGCATGTTACCATTGAGTCACTGGTCGGTATTCATTAGTCCATATTTCCAACTTCTGTCAGTTCACTTCACAGCACGACTTTCACTCAATGTCATTGTTGAGTATTTGTCCTCTCGGCCACCAGGTTTGCCCCATCGGTCACAACTTCTCATTGGAACTTCAGGGATTACTTCTCGAAGCTAGTCACCAATGAGCAATGGATCAATTTAATATTGGGGTTTTGTAAGGATTTGGTGGCTTTTCAAGTTCGTCCTGGGTTCGATCCATAGCAGAAGGGGTCATGGGTGCGCACTGCTGGGGAGTCTCATACTAGAACGAAACAGCTGTCCAGTACTCGCAGGTTTCCAATGTTCCTCAAACTGGTGTCAGTCCATGGTGAATACCAACTTGATAAATATTTTCTTCTCACACACAATAAGGAGTTATGTGAATGTAAGAATCACTTCTAGGAATAATATACACATACCTTGTCACAGCTAGGCGTTCCACAGAACACTACATAATCAGTAAGAGGTCTATCTTTGTTATTCTTGAGAATATCATCTCCGCAAACGGGACAATCTGATCGAGGTTCACGTAATCTTACGGAACGAGTTAAATTGCGTTCCACATCCAAGAGAAAAAGTCGACCAATATGAACATCTTTAGAAAGGTTCAATGCAGAAACAATGAAAGTGATCAATATACGTGTATATATACCGAAAAATACCAGTTAAAAATATTCCATTTATCAATCTTTTCTCATCAATTACATATGTGGATCTTTTATCACCTAAAAGGCAAAGGAAAAGCTGGTCTTTCAAAATACATTATTCTCTGAGCTGGGTTGTTTAGTCGTGGAGTTTTCATCGTCTGTCTAGATGACATCTTCAGTACTAACTTCAGTATAAAGTGAACTATCAATATCTCTCAGTCAGTGACTCAACAGCTTGCACTGACGAACTGGTTTGTGTGTGTTTGGTTGTTTCCTTTGACTGTTGTGTCATTGACAGACTGTATAGATTTTCCTGTTAACTGTTGCTCTGCTTGACCTCTGGCCTTTCTGTTGTTTATCATGTTTCTAATTGGTTAGAAGATTGGGTCTATGTCTATACATCTGTTGGTCGCTGACTGACCTGAATGTCAAGCTTCTAGTAATTCTCTGACATTCTTTGTGTTTCTTCTCTCCATTCAAGATTTCTACATTGTCAAAATTGAACTCATGTTCATAGTTGTTATCCATGTGTATTGAAATTAGTGATGAAATGTCATGTGTGATATTTAATAACCAATTGGTGTTCATGTAAACGAAGGCGAAGAGGGCGACCACTTTCTCCAATGTAATGTTGACTACAGTTATTACAGTTGATTTTGTAGATAATATTCGGTTTGTCTTCTTTGGTTGTTGCATCCTCTGGTCTGCATCATAGTATTTGGAGGGAATTCGTTGGTTTGTGAGGCACCACGCCAACTCCAAGTGGTCTCCGTAATCTTGTTGTGATTTCTGATATATTCTTTGTGAACGGTAGGATGATGCGTTTATCGATTTCTGTCGATGATTTTGTAGTTGATGATATACGGGATAGGCATCTTCTTTAGAAAGAACATCAAGAAATTTTCCTCGTTTCTCCGTGAAATTGTTGTACTGCAGTGTGTTCTCACTCTTTTGAATAGAGTCTGCACGCAACTGATTCTGTGCTTTATTAGGTTGTTGCTATTGTAGTTGAGGATTTGACCAGTGTTTGTTGACTCCATGTTCATTTGAGTTTCCAGTTTTTCAGCATTTTTTCTGTTGACTAAAGCATTCATGAATGGTAGTTGGTTGTTCGACTCCTTCTCCGTTGTGAATTTGATGTCACTGAAAACGTGTTGATCGAATTGTGGGTGTTTTCTAAACCATCTTTTTTATGATGACAAAAGTATCGTCTACATAGCAAATTCAATTTTTGGTTTAATCAACGGCAGAATTATGACTTCCAGTCTCCGTAATTAGTCCGGATATCGGTGACCCAATTGTAGCTCCTTTCATCGGTTTGTGTATTTGCCACTGAATCGGAAGTATGTTAATGATGGATCGTGGTCAGCAGTGGAATCCAAGATGCGCACTTCGTCCTATTTGGGACTCGTCAGCTGGGTATGCCTGATTACCAGTGAGTGATGTTGTTCCCACCGGGGTTCGGACTTGCGAGGGATCGCTTCAAACGCCAGCGCGTTTTCCACTACACTACCGAGCCACGCTAGCCACTTCTCGTGCGACGGGTATAGCTTTTAGTATAATTGTTTTTATATGATACTGTCGTTTATTGGACCGAATTGATCGGTCCCTATTAGCATATGGGCTCCTGTGCGGGTGCCACGATGCATCATTAACATAATTAGAACGCTGGCAATATCGAGGCATCCGGACAGGAGCCCATATGCTAATAGAGATCGATCAATTCGGTCCAACCAACGACGGTATGATATAAAAACAATTATACTAGAATCGGAAATGTGTTGTCGATGAGTTCTATCAAACTTGAACATTTAAGTTTTGTGTGTTCTGAAAGACTTATGTCTTCAGTGAACAGTTTCCTTGGCCAATCTGGGTTCGATGGATGTGTATAGTGCCATCTTGATTAGTCTTCTGCTTCACAGAAATCCAGAAGGCTAGATCTTACAAACGATAATACAAACAGTATGTGTATCATTCAACATGTTTATTAATTAAGACTACGTATATACGTTGTAACATTAAATATCATTAAACTGAGCTCATAACCATCTGCCAGCACGTCTTTAAAAAGTAAATGCCGATCAACTGTATTTATAAGAAAACTGTAAGAAGGTTCCTTTAAGCCATTTCAAAGACAATGTCATCTACACCTTAGTACACTGAAATCTTGAGTTTTGTGTAGAAAAATACTCTGTCCATTGCTTTTAAATGGTACAGCAAAATTGTAAACAGAAAACTTTTAAAATCGAAGTATCGTTTTTCTGTTGAACCTTGAAATTCAACAATAAGAGGGATAGGGGGCTGAATAAAACGGATCCATTATCACTTCAATCGTAACTTGCCAACTGACTGACATCAGTCAGTCTACGATGAACAACAACTTGAAATATTTGCAAATCCCCACAACTCTCTCAAAATTCAATTGAACTGGTGCTCACTGGTGACAACCTTCGAGAGGTATTCCCGAAGTTCCGATGAGAAGTCGTGACCAGTGAGGGCAAAGCTTGATGGTCGTGAGGACAGTTACTCAACGATGACATTGGGTGGCGGTTGCGTTATATCATGAGCTGACAGAATTCAAAAATATGGATCATTGGATTCCCACCCAGTGACTCAATGGTAACGTGCGGACCACGGAACCTGAAGATCGCGGTTCGATGCGTGGCGGGGTCGTGGGTGCGCACTGCTGAGGAGTCCCATACTAGGACGAAACGGCTGTCCAGTGCTCCCAGGTTTCCTCTGTTCCTCCAAATGATGTCAGTCTACAATGAATAACAACTTGAGAACTACATAAGCTTTGATATTCTACAGGTTATAAACAGCTGGCAAGAAAACACCGAAATAAAATGGTTTCTGTTACATCTTGTTTCCACTGTTTTTCTTGTGCCTTTCAAATTCATCAACGCAGAATTCCTTCATAAAACGGATACTGTCTTTCCTTTCTAACAATAAATTAGGTTTTAAGCTTTGGACTTTGAAAAATTACATTCGAAATGTATTTATAACTTATTATTTGCATATATTATGATGCCTTTCTTGGTATTTGTATTGTAACAAGTTTATATTTACAATAAATTATGAATTTTCATATACTTTGTAAGGTCGATGTATTCTTGTTGGATACTTGTATAATTTCCCGTTGTTATTCTACATCGAACAACTCGACCACTGTTGGTAGGTGGGGCTTCTATGCGGATGTCTCGATACTGCCGAATATTCATCATGTTGTATACATCTTGGTGGCTAACAGTGAAATTCGGGACTCATCAGTGGGATGTATCTGCCACTCCAGTGGGTGATATTGCTCCCACAGTTCTTGAATCTGTTCGAAGTTGTATCGTTGGAGCTAGAGGTGCGAAGGAAAATCTCAGAACGTAGTGGAACCTTCCATCCCATCGACGAAAAAAAAATCTCTGTTAAGCAAGTAGACACTTTTTTCTTTTATCTGTTTCAATTTCTGATGTTTATTCACCTAACTCTAAGTTTCATCATGGCTAGGGCTCCTTAGAAGCGGAAGAGCCTAAGAAACCCTATCTTCATTATAGATTGTCCTCTAAAGACAATGAATTAGATGAGATAGAGGCTCTAATAAGAAACTGAAGTTGCAGAGAAACGGGTTAAGAAAGAGTAAGGGAAAGGAAAGTGTCAAGGAGGTGAAGCCTACTTAGAAACTGCCAGCACCAACGGGCGTCGAACGCAGGCTAAACAGACCAAAAGCCTCTCCGTAAACCACTCGACCTACTGTATTCGGTTCTAGCATGTATAGTTCACCTAAGATCGAGATTGACAAATTCGACGGAATCACCAGTGCACTGTTGAAAATTCATAAGGTGTTTTGATATTGTTTATTGAAAGCTGAGTCCCGAATAACACACAGAAGCCGATATACCTGATACATTATTGCAGTGGAACGCGCAAAAGAAGCAATAAACCCGTTGCATCTTCTCGCCAGCGGATGGTGTTAAAAAGAGGCTTTGAAGATACTAAGCAGACGGTTTGGTAGGCCACACGAAATTTCTAAGTCTTCTTGTCAGACTGGGTCTTTGGTCGCCGTCTACATTCGTAAGACTTAGCTGATTTTCAAGGCTTTCAACTAGAACGGTCAATTTTGAGGTGGTAGTCTCATATGAGATAACCTTCGGTTTGAACCAGCACAAGCAACCTTAAACATATTGTGAGACGCCTGGCCTCGACATCTACAGCTCAGTGGT